TTTTTTACATATGGTAGGATTGCTGGTGTCTTTTTATTGTCTCATACACATGCAAGTTTTCCCAGGTATGTCTTGCTACTTCTACTTACACTTGGGTTTTACACTTCACATACATGTACAAGCTATATACACACACCCCTCTGGTTTTCTTTCTATTTTCTTTCTAGTTCTTGTTCTTGTTTATTCTTCTTCTTACCTCCATGGGGAAGTGGAACAGAATTCTTCCTCCGTAAGCCATGCGTGTTGTAAGAGGCGACTAAAATGCCGGGAGCAAGGGGCTAGTAACCCCTTCTCCTGTATATATTACTAAATGTAAAAGGAGAAACTTTGGTTTTTTCTTTTGGGCCACCCCGCCTCGGTGGGATACGGCCGGTGTGTTGAAAGAAAGAAAGAGAGAGTAGGTTGGTAGACAGCAACCACCCAGGGAGGTACTACCATCCTGCCAAGTGAGTGTAAAACGAAAGCCTGTAATTGTTTTACATGATGGTAGGATTGCTGGTGTCTTTTGTCTATCCCATAAATAAGCAAGATTACAGGTACATCTTGCTACTTCTACTTACACTTAGGTCACACTACTCATACATGTACATGTTTATTTATACACACTCATCTGAGTTTTCTTCTATTTTCTTACTAGTTCTTGTTCTTGTTTATTTCCTCTTATATCCATGGGGAAGTGGAACAGAATTCTTCCTCCGTAAGCTATGCGTGTTATAAGAGGCGACTAAAATGCCAGGAGCAAGGGGCTAGTAACCCCTTCTCCTGTATAAATTACTAAATTTAAAAAGAGAAACTTTTCTTTTTCTTTTTGGGCCACCCTGCCTTGGTGGAATACGGCGGGTCTGTCTGCATTCCTTATACGTACTCTTATATGGGTGTGAAGTATGGGTTGAAAATGGTGCAGCAAGGAGGTTGGAGGCAGTGGAGATGTCATGTCTAAGGGCACTGTGTGGTGTAAATATTATGCAGAGAATTCTTAGTGTGGAAATTAGGAGGAGGTGTGGAGCTACTAAAAGTATTGGTCATATGGATGAAGAGGGGCTGTTGAGGTGGTCTAGTCATTTAGAGAGAATGGAACAAAGTAGAATGACCTGGAGAGTATAAATCTGCAGTGGAAGGAAGATGGGGTAGGGGTCATCCTAGGAAAGGTTTGAGGGAAGGGGTAGAGGAGGTTTTGTGGGCGAGGGTCTTGGACTTGTAGCATGTGTAAGCACGTTAGATAGGAGTGAATGGAGATGGTCTTCTGGGGCCTGACAAGCTGTAGAATGTGAGCAGGGTAATATTTTATGATGGGATCCAGGGAAACCGGATAGCCGTACTTGAGTCTTGGAGGTGGGAAGTACAATGCCTGCACTTTAAAGGAAGGGTTTGGGATATTGGCTGTTTGGAGTGACTGACATCTAAACTGTTGTATCTGAGCACCTCTGCAAAGACAATGATTATGTAAGAATAATGTTGAAAGTGTTGAACGATGAAATTTTTTTTGTTTCTTTCTTTTTGGGTTACCCTGCCTCAGTGTGAGGCGGCCGATGTGTTAAATAAATAAATTAAAGTTCTTCATTTTTCTCATATTTAAGCAGTTGAAATTTGTTCTCAATGACTATCATATTTTCTTTGCCAATTGGAAAACTTTTCAGGCATTTTTTTTTTTAATTTTTCTGAGTGTTGTGCCAGAGTAATTTTCATACTTACTTTGGTATCATCTGTAAAAGATGAAACCAAACAATAAACAGCAAGGTGCTAGGACCATACCCTGAGGCACAATTTTTTAATTTACCAAGACTGGATTTGGTTTGCTTATTATCAGTGTTCTATTAGTATATTAACTAACCATTTCCCTACTTTTCTGCAGTTGTGAGAGGTTTGGGAATACTGAGTCAGGAAATCTAATCTACTTAGTTTACATCTCATGAACACACATTTCACACAACTTTTTCAGAAAGATCCTTTGTATTAAGGAAGAGAAAGGTTTTTGGAATTTACAATATTCTTGAGACATAGCTGTTTCAAAATTTACTAGTTTCATGAAAGATCACATTTTCAGAAAAAAGAACTGCATTTGAACTTTGCTGTTATCACACACTAAGCATTTCTAGTTAATCTAACATGTTTCAATCATGACATGAGTCAAACAAGCTGTCAAAACACAAAATTTAATTACTTGACATTTTACATCAGAAAAATAAGGAAAGAAAAGCAAAGTACACATACCTTCAACTGAACAAATTCTGAACTCTGAGCAATACAGGCCAATATATCAGCCTCATTCATGACAGCCTTAAGGAATTCATTGAAAACTTCAATGGTGTCATACTTAATGTAGAACTGGCTAGCAACACGGCCCATATCTGCAAAAAGATAATTTACATTACATATTTCATTACAATAATTATGACTACTTTTCTGCTGTCAGTCTTAAATAAGTACCACATTTCTGCCTAACAATATTTTTATTACATGTAACCTACATTACCTGAATGCTACAGAAAAGAAATAAATTTATTATTATTATTATTAATAATAGAGGTTTCTACAAAACATGGCTGATGAGAAATCTGTATTCAATATAAATTCTTTTTTTTTATCTCATTGGCCATTTCTGACCAAGGAAGGGTGATTCAACCTAGGTAGTAGGTTGATAGACAGCAACCACCCAGGGAGGTACTACTGGCATGCCAAGTGAGTGTAAAACGTTAGCCTATAATTGTTTTACATGATGGTAGGATTGCTGGTGTCTTTTTTTCTGTCTCATAAACATGCAAGATTTCAGGTACATCTTGCTACTTCAACTTACAATTTAAGTCACACTACACATACATGTACAAGCATTTATATACACACCCCTCTGGGTTTTCTTCTATTTTCTTACTAGTTCTTGTTTATTTTTTATCACCATGGGGAAGTGGAATAGAATTCTTCCTCCGTAAGCCATGCGTGTCGTAAGAGGCAACTAACATCTCGGGAGCAAGAGGCTAATAACTCCTTCTGTATACATTACTAACATTAAAAAGAGAAACTTTAATTTTTCTTTTTGAGACACCCTGCTGCAGTGGGATACGGCTGGTTTGTTAAAAGAAGAAGGGTGACCCAAAAGAAATCTATTCAACACTGTTCAATGTTCAATTCAATGTTCACTGTTGAATTCAATTAAACTTATAAACTACAAAATCTCCACCCCTTCTTCAGAGTGCAGGCACTATTTCTCACCTCCCAAATTTAACCCTTAAACTATCCAAACGTAGATCTGTTTTTTCAACATTTGAAAGTATGTAAAAAAAAAAAGTAGACCTTTTTTTTTTACATTTGAAAATGTGTAAAAAAAACTTCGATCTACTTTTTTTTTAATATTTGAAAATATGTAAAAAAATGTAATCTACTTTTGGAGCACTACACATGTGAACGTAGATCTGTTTGGACAGTTTACGGGTTAAGTTTAGCTAACTAGTTTCCAAAAGCCCTTCATAAAGGTTATGTTCTTCACACTGTAACAGAATGCCAAATCTCCAAAACTACTTACCTCCACTCTATACAGAGATTACAGTAGTATACAGAAACTTACCTGTTATATGAAGGTACCCTGTAGCTTCATCATAGCGTACCATACGTGCCTTATCTAGAGCTCTAGCTGCTTTAACAAGGAGGTCTCGACGAAAGTTTTCAAGTGAAGGATCCTGCTGAGCTTCCTTGTACAGCAGGCCATACACCTATACAAGTGACAAATTAGGAGGTAAGTGTGACATCACTACAGGATTTTTTTTTAACTATCAGCTGTCTCTCTCCAAGGAAGTATGACCCCCAACAGAAACCCAATATCATTTATTCAATCTCTGCCTTGCCTGAAGTGTCGATGTCGGAAAAATAAAAAGAAAAAATTATTTTTCTTATAAAATGATAGAGAATTTTTTCCTGATGGTAATGACACCAAAAGAACAAAATTTGATGGAAAACTTGCGGAATTATGCTCTCACGAAGTTAGCGACCTTGGTGTTATTTATGAATCAGAGATTTTGCCCACTTTGAGCCCTATTTTCGGCTAATTCCATTGTTCCAGTCAACCAAACTCATAGCTATTTCTTTAGAACTCCATTTGTTCTATCGGCTGAGTACAGTAGGACCCCGCTCTATGGTGTTTCGCCTTACAGCATTCCGTTAATACGGCGAAGTCAAACTATGACCAAAATTTGCTATACTGCAAGCGGTCTTTTAAATGCGGCGCATCCCACCCGGTTTGTTTACATTCTTCGTGACCACATCTATTATGTCAAACATTTCTGCTACTTTGAGCTCAATTTCAAGGTACTTTTCATTGTAAAACCAATCAAAATCATCTCATTTTCTGTAATATGTCTTCCATTCTATAAAATGAGACCAAAAAAACTAGAATACAACAATAAATACCATACGAAAATACAGTGCAAAGTAGCTGTTTTATTCCAAACACACTGTCAAAGTTTTTTTTTTCTCATTATGCACTGTGTGCTGCAGGATTTTTTTTATACTGCACACACTGACCACATAGACCCATTCTTTCATATGTAGGCCTACCAGCTTTCTCCCACTAGATTTGAGGGCGCCAGAATTTAGGCGTACTAGTACATCAAAAACCCTGGGTCGTAAGCCGTACTAGTATGGCCGAAACCCTCAAAGGTTTAAGACCCATTCTATGCTGACCAGGCATCTCAGGCCAATCGTACCAAATTTGGAAGCGGGAAAATTAAAACGTATATATACGTTTGGGGTGCTACGCGTAAGAACGTATATATACGTTTGGACCATTTAGGGGTTAAATATGTATTACCTATTACCAAACCCCTTTCTATACAAAGTTCAATCAAATATCAATTACACCTGGCACCCCAAACTTATCTACCACACCCTCTTTAACCCTTTCTCCCACTTTAGCATTTAGGTCCCCTACCACAATTACTCTTTCACTAGGTTCAACAGTTCCCAAACACTTGCTTAACATCTCCCAAAATCTCTCCTCTACACTCCTCTCCTCTCCAGATGCATACACACTTATTATGACCCAGTTATAACATCCAACCCTTACTTTAATCAATAAAATCCTTGAATTTATACATTTATATTCCCCCTTCTGCTTCCACAACTGATCCTCCAACATTATTGTTACCCCTTCCTTAGCTCTCTCTCAGATACTCTTGACTTAACCCCATTTATTTCTTCCCGCTGAAACTCTACTAACCGATTAAGCTTTGTTCTGATTAGAGCTAGGACGTTCAACTTCTTTTCATTCACAACACTGGCAATCATCTCTTTCTTATCATCTGCACTACATCCATGCACATTCAAACATCCCAGTGTTATATATAATACCTGAGGATTTTTGCGCATTCGAACGTAGAGGTAGGTGTAGCTCATCCATTCAATGGCTTCATCAATGTTTGTAACAGTACCAAGAGAAACCTGAAATTATATTTATCAATTAATTTACAATTGAATATATACTTTACTTTCTAAGGAACACCATTAATCTTAAGGCTTTATTGCTCTTAATGGCTGAGGAGACATGACCAATTTTATGACATGAGATGACAAGACTCCCTTGTTAATCAACTATCCTCAATACTCATCCCTCTTATCTTCCATTACTGGGCATACCTTACCTTATCGTTAAGAGGCATATAACTATTGCTTTCAGTACTGTATGTATTTATCAGATTTAGAATGATCATAATGAATAAATAAATATAAAATAAATAAATAAATAAATATATATATATATATATACATTTTTTTTTATTTTTTTTATTATCACACTGGCCGATTCCCACCAAGGCAGGGTGGCCCGAAAAAGAAAAACTTTCACCATCAATCACTCCATCACTGTATTGCCAGAAGGGTGCTTTACACTACAGTTTTTAAACTGCAACATTTAACACCCCTCCTTCAGAGTGCAGGCACTGTACTTCCCATCTCCAGGACTCAAGTCCGGCCTGCCAGTTTCCCTGAACCCCTTCATAAATGTTACTTTGCTCACACTCCAACAGCACGTCAAGTATTAAAAACCATTCGTCTCCATTCACTCCTATCAAACATGCTCACGCATGCCTGCTGGAAGTCCAAGCCCCTTGCACACAAAACCTCCTTTACCCCCTCCCTCCAACCTTTCCTAGGCCGACCCCTACCCCGCTTTCCTTCCACTACAGACTGATACACTCTTGAAGCCACTCTGTTTCGCTCCATTCTCTCTACATGTCCGAACCACCTCAACAACCCTTCCTCAGCCCTCTGGACAATAGTTTTGGTAATCCCGCACCTCCTCCTAACTTCCAAACTACGAATTCTCTGCATTATATTCACACCACACATTGCCCTCAGACATGACATCTCCACTGCCTCCAGCCTTCTCCTCACTGCAACATTCATCACCCATGCTTCACACCGATATAAGAGCGTTGGTAAAACTATACTCTCATACATTCCCCTCTTTGCCTCCAAGGACAAAGTTCTTTGTCTCCACATACTCCTAAGTGCACCACTCATATTATATATATATATATATTTTGGGAAATGTTGAGTGAATGCGTGGGGAGTTTTGAATCAAGTGTGAGAGTAATGGTGGTTGGGGATTTCAATGCTAAAGTGGGTAAAAATGTTATGGAGTAGTAGGTAAATTTGGGGTGCCAGGGGTAAATGTAAATGGGGAGCCTTAATTGAGCTATGTGTAGAAAGAAATTTGGTAATAAGTAATACATATTTTATGAAAAAGAGGATAAATAAATATACAAGGTATGATGTAGCACGTAATGAAAGTAGTTTATTAGATTATGTATTGGTGGATAAAAGGTTGATGGGTAGGCTCCAGGATGTACATGTTTATAGAGGGGCAACTGATATATCGGATCATTATTTAGTTGTAGCTACAGTTAGAGTAAGAGGTAGATGGGAAAAGAGGAAGGTGGCAACAACAAGTAAGAGGGAGGTGAAAGTGTATAAACTAAGGGAGGAGGAAGTTCGGCGCAGATATAAGCGACTATTGGCAGAAAGGTGGGATAGTGCAAAGATGAGTAATGGGGGGGTTGAAGAGGGTTGGAATAGTTTTAAAAATGCAGTATTAGAATGTGGGGCAGAAGTTTGTGGTTATAGGAGGGTGGGTGCAGGAGGAAAGAGGAGTGATTGGTGGAATGATGAAGTAAAGGGTGTGATAAAAGAGAAAAAGGTAGCTTATGAGAGGTTTTTACAAAGCAGAAGTGTTATAAGAAGAGCAGAATATATGGAGAGTAAAAGAAAGGTAAAGAGAGTGGTGAGAGAGTGCAAAAGGAGAGCAGATGATAGAGTGGGAGAGGCACTGTCAAGAAATTTTAATGAAAATAAGAAAAAATTTTGGAGTGAGTTAAACAAGTTAAGAAAGCCAAGGAAAATATGGATTTGTCAGTTAAAAACAGAGTAGGGGAGTTAGTAGATGGGGAGAATGGAGGTATTAGGTAGATGGCGAGAATATTTGAGGAACTTTTAAATGTTAAGGAAGAAACAGAGGCAGTAATTTCATGCACTGGTCAGGGAGGTATACCATCTTTTAGGAGTGAAGAAGAGCAGAATGTAAGTGTGGGGGAGGTACGTGAGGCATTACGTAAAATGAAAGGGGGTAAAGCAGCTGGTACTGATGGGATCATGACAGAAATGTTAAAAGCAGGGGGGATATAGTGTTGGAGTGGTTGGTACTTTTGTTCAATAAATGTACGAAAGAGGGGAAGGTACCTAGGGATTGGCGGAGAGCATGTATAGTCCCTTTATATAAAGGGAAAGGGGACAAAAGAGACTGTAAAAATTATAGAGGAATAAGCTTACTGAGTATACCAGGAAAAGTGTACGGTAGGGTTATAATTGAAAGAATTAGAGGTAAGACAGAATGTAGGATTGCGGATGAGCAAGGAGGTTTCAGAGTGGGTAGGGGATGTGTAGATCAAGTGTTTACATTGAAGCATATATGTGAACAGTATTTAGATAAAGGTAGGGAAGTTTTTATTGCATTTATGGATTTAGAAAAGGCATATGATAGAGTGGATAGAGGAGCAATGTGGCAGATGTTGCAAGTATATGGAATAGGTGGTAAGTTATTAAATGCTGTAAAGAGTTTTTATGAAGATAGTGAGGCTCAGGTTAGGGTGTGTAGAAGAGAGGGAGACTATTTCCCGGTAAAAGTAGGTCTTAGACAGGGATGTGTAATGTCACCATGGTTGTTTAATATATTTATAGATGGGGTTGTTAAGGAAGTAAATGCTAGGGTTTTTGGGAGAGGGGTGGGATTAAATTATGGGGAATCAAATTCAAAATGGGAATTGACACAGTTACTTTTTGCTGATGATACTGTGCTTATGGGAGATTCTAAAGAAAAATTGCAAAGGTTAGTGGATGAGTTTGGGAATGTGTGTAAAGGTAGAAAGTTGAAAGTGAACATAGAAAAGAGTAAGGTGATGAGGGTGTCAAATGATTTAGATAAAGAAAAATTGGATATCAAATTGGGGAGGAGGGGTATGGAAGAAGTGAATGTTTTCAGATACTTGGGAGTTGACGTGTCGGCGGATGGATTTATGAAGGATGAGGTTAATCATAGAATTGATGAGGGAAAAAAGGTGAGTGGTGCGTTGAGGTATATGTGGAGTCAAAAAACGTTATCTATGGAGGCAAAGAAGGGAATGTATGAAAGTATAGTAGTACCAACACTCTTATATGGGTGTGAAGCTTGGGTGGTAAATGCAGCAGCGAGGAGACGGTTGGAGGCAGTGGAGATGTCCTGTTTAAGGGCAATGTGTGGTGTAAATATTATGCAGAAAATTCGGAGTGTGGAAATTAGGAGAAGGTGTGGAGTTAATAAAAGTATTAGTCAGAGGGCAGAAGAGGGGTTGTTGAGGTGGTTTGGTCATTCAGAGAGAATGGATCAAAGTAGAATGACATGGAAAGCATATAAATCTATAGGGGAAGGAAGGCGGGGTAGGGGTCGTCCTCGAAAGGGTTGGAGAGAGGGGGTAAAGGTTTTGTGGGTAAGGGGCTTGGACTTCCAGCAAGCGTGCGTGAGCGTGTTAGATAGGAGTGAATGGAGACGAATGGTACTTGGGACCTGACGATCTGTTGGAGTGTGAGCAGGGTAATATTTAGTGAAGGGATTCAGGGAAACCGGTTATTTTCATATAGTCGGACTTGAGTCCTGGAAATGGGAAGTACAATGCCTGCACTTTAAAGGAGGGGTTTGGGATATTGGCAGTTTGGAGGGATATGTTGTGTATCTTTATATGTGTATGCTTCTAGACTGTTGTATTCTGAGCACGTCTGCAAAAACAGTGATAATGTGCGAGTGTGGTGAAAGTGTTGAATGATGATGAAAGTATTTTCTTTTTGGGATTTTCTTTCTTTTTTGGGTCACCCTGCCTCGGTGGGAGACGGCCGACTTGTTGAAGAAAAAAAAAAAAAAAAAAAAAAAAAAAAAAAAAAAAAAAAAAAAAAAAAAAATATATATAAAAATATATATATATATATATATATATATATATATATATATATATATATATATATATATATATATATATATATATATATATTATATATATATATTTTTATATTTATATTATTTATTTATTTACACAATGTGACAAAATATATAAAATTTTAAGTAAAATTATTTAAGTGTATTTTATAGGTCAAGTACTTAACATAATTGACAGAAATTCTCTTAAAAAAGATCTACTTTAGCAAATACAACAACTGACAAACAAACAAGTAATATTTTTCAGAAAATTGAAATTAGCGAATTTAAGACAAACAACAAATAAATCATAATACTATAGAAAATATTAAATGTGTCACTTGACAATAAATATTACCAAAGATAAAGCTTAAATAAATATTTTCATCTTTTCAACAATACTTTTTGTAACAAAACTAAAATATTGAAGGTTGAACAATTAACTAACCTCAGCATTTAGATTATCAACCAAATGATTGATGAAAGAACTTTCAATTGGATACTGATTGGTAAGGAGAGCCAAGTAGTGTGTCAGTTTATCATGTGTGGTGATGATAGTGCCATGACCGCTGGTGTCAAACTGTGGACGACCAGCACGACCAAAGATTTGCAGTACATCCAGAATGCCCAAATCAACCATTGCACCATGTTTACTGTCGTAGATGTCTGTACCCTGCAAAACAAATTAGCATACATATACTAGGTTGTTTTGATCCCATTATGAGAATAAAAAGAGGTATCTTCAGTCTCATAACTCTTGTATAATCTTTCTATGCAATAATCTACTACAGTAAATGCCTTCCTCTTCCTCCTCCGGCATTCCTTTCTCATCTTTCAAGACTGCTTGAGTCCTTCTATCTTTACCATAAATAAAGTTTATGAATTATTCAGAACACCACTTAAAAATGCATGAGAACCTTCAAAACTAGGGATACCACGCCCATGACAATTCTCTTCAAATCGCTTCTCTCTAGGCTGGAATACTGCTGTACACTAACGGACCCTTTCAAGGCAGGCAAAATTGCAGACCTAGAGAATATACATAGAACTTTCATGGCACATATAAGCACAATAAAGTACCTGGAAACGGTCAAGTCCCTTGATTTGTACTTCCCGGAACGCAGGCAAGAAAGATACACGATTATATACACCTGAAAAATCCTAAAGGGACTAGTCCTAAATCTGCACATTAAAATCATTCCCTACGAAAGCAAAAGACTTGGCAGGAGATGCAACATCCTCCCATGAAAAGTAAGAACCATGAAGTAAGAACCACAGCCCAGCTGACCAGCCGGGCTGTGGTTCTTACTTCGGTTTACGTGAGGCCATCATTAACAGCCTGGCTGATCAGGCCTGATCCACCGTGAAGCCTGGTCATGGACCGGGCCACAGGTGCATTGACCCCCGAAACTCCCTCCATGTATGCTAACACTATTCAGTACATACTAACACTATTCAGCATATACTAACACTATTCAGCACATGCTAACACTATTCAGCACATACTAATACTATTCAGTACATACTAACACTATTCAGCACATACTGACACTATTCAGCACATACTGGAGTTTACCTGGAGAGAGTTCCGGGGGTCAATGCCCCCGCGGCCCGGTCTGTGACCAGGCCTCCTGGTGGATCAGAGCCTGATCAACCAGGCTGTTACTGCTGGCTGCACACAAACCAATGTACGAGCCACAGCCCGGCTGGTCAGGTACCGACTTTTGGTGCTTGTCCAGTGCCAGCTTGAAGACTGCCAGGGGTCTGTTGGTAATCCCCTTATGTATGCTGGGAGGCAGTTGAACAGTCTTGGGCCCCTGACACTTATTGTATGGTCTCTTAACGTGCTAGTGACACCCCTGCTTTTCATTGGGGGGATGTTGCATCGTCTGCCAAGTCTTTTGCTTTCGTAGTGAGTGATTTTCGTGTGCAAGTTCGGTACTAGTCCCTTAGGATTTTCGAGGTGTATATAATCATGAATCTCTCCCTCCTGCATTCCAGGGAATACAGGTTCAGGAACCTCAAGCGCTCCCAGTAATTGAGGTGTTTTTATCTCCGTTATGCGTGCCGTGAAGGTTCTCTGTACATTTTCTAGGTCAGCAATTTCACCTGCCTTGAAAGGTGCTGTTAGTGTGCAGCAATATTTCAGCCTAGATAGAACAAGTGACCTGAAGAGTGTCATCATGGGCTTGGCATCCCTAGTTTTTGAAGGTTCTCATTATCCATCCTGTCATTTTTCTAGCAGATGCGATTGATACAATGTTATGGTCCTTGAAGGCAAGCTCCTCTGACATGATCACTCCCAGGTCGTTGACATTGGTGTTTCGCTCTATTTTGTGGCCAGAATTTGCTTTGTACTCTGATGAAGATTTAATTTCCTCGTGTTTACCATATCTGAGTAATTGAAATTTCTCATCGTTTGAGCTTCATATTTTTCTGCAGCCCACTGAAAGATTGGTTGATGTCCGCCTGGAGCCTTGCAGTGTCTGCAATGGAAGACACTGTCATGCAGATTCGGGGTGTCATCTGCAAAGGAAGACACGGTGCTGTGGCTGACATCCTTGTCTATGTCAGATATGAGGATGAGGAACAAGATGGGAGCGAGTACTGTGCCTTGTGGAACAGAGCTTTTCACCGTAGCTGCCTCAGACTTTACTCTGTTGACTACTACTCTTTGTGTTCTGTTAGTGAGGAAAATTACAGATCCATCGACCGACTTTTCCTGTTATTCCTTTAGCACGCATTTTGTGCGCTATTATGCCATGGTCACACTTGTCGAAGGCTTTTGCAAAGTCTGTATATATTACATCTGCATTCTTTTTGTCTTCTAGTGCATTTAGGACCTTGTCGTAGTGATCCAATAGTTGAGACAGACGTGGAATGACCTGTTCTAAACCCATGTATGCCCTGGGTTGTGTTAATTGATGGGTTTCTAGATGGGGTGTGATCTTGCTTCTTAGGACCCTTTCAAAGATTTTTTATGAATGGGATGTTAGTGCTATCGGTCTGTAGTTCTTTGCTATTGCTTTACTGCCCCCTTTGTGGAGTGGGGCTATGTCTGTTGTTTTTAGTAACTGTGGGACGACCCCCGAGTCCATGCTCCCTCTCCATAGGATGGTAAAAGCTTGTGACAGGGGCTTCTTGCAGTTCTTGATGAACACAGAGTTCCATGAGTTTGGCCCTGGGGCAGAGTGCATGGGCATGTCATTTATCGCCTGTTCGAAGTCATTTGACGTCAGGATAACATCAGATAGGCTTGTGTTAACCAAATTCTGTGGATCTCTCATAAAAATTCATTTTGATCTTCGACTCTCAGTCTGGTTAGCGGCTTGCTAAAAACTGAGTCATATAGGGACTTGAGTAGCTCACTCATTTCCTTGCTGTCATCTGTGTAGGACCCATCTGTTTAAGTAGGGGCCCAATACTGGACGTTGTTCTCGACTTTGATTTGCATAGGGTTTCTTTCGATTTCATTTATGGCTTTTAGTTCTTCCCGCAATTCCTGACTCCTATAAGATTCCTTTAGCTTAAGTTCGATGCTTGCTATTTCTCTGACCAGTGACTCCCTACGCATTTCAGATATATTGACCTCTTTTAGCCGCTCTGTTATTCTTTTCCGTCACATGTAAAGGGAGCGCCTGTCTCTTTCTATTTTACATCTACTCCTCCTTTTTCTTAGAGGAATAGCCTTGTGCATACATCGAGTGCCACCGAGTTAATCTGTTCTAGGCATAAGTTGAGGTCTGTGTTGCTTAGTCTATCTTCCCAGCTTATATCGGTTAGGACTTGGTTTACTTGGTCCCACTTTATGTTTTTGTTATTGAAGTTGAATTTGGTGAATGCTCCCTCGTGACTAATCACACAATGTCGGTCTGGGGCTCTGTGCATACATGTCTGAACCTCAATTATGTTGTGATTTGAGTATATTGTTTTTGATAAGGTGACATTTCGTATCAGATCATCATGTTAGTGAAGATGAGGTCTAGTGTATTGTCCAGTCTAGTAGGCTCTATTATTTGCTGGTTTAAATTGAATTTTGTGCAGAGATTTAAAAGCTCATGTGTGTGTGAGTTCTAATCAGAGCTGCCTCCTGGTGTTATTACTGCAACAACATTATTTGCTATATTCCTCCATTTTAGGTGCCTTAAGTTGAAATCCCCCAGGAGCAAGATGTTGGGTGCAGGAGCTGGAAGATTTTCCAGACAGTGGTCAATTTTTAACAGCTGTTCCTGGAATTGCTGGGATGTTGCATCCGGAGGCTTGTAGACTACCACAATGACTGATTTTGGTTCTCGATCTTTACTGCTAAAACTTCAACTACATCATTTGAGGCATTAAGCAGTTCTGTGCAAACAAGTGACTCTGCGATGTACAGGCCAAACCCCCCCCCCCCCCCCCTTTTGCCTGTTCACTCTGTCGCATCTGTATAGGTTGTAACCTGGGTTCCATATTTCGTTGTCCAAGTGATCCTTTATGTGGGTCTCAGCACATATTAACACTATTCAGCACATAATTACACTATTCAGCACATACTAACACTATTCAGCACATAATTACACTATTCAGCACATACTAACACTATTCGGCACATACTAACACTATTCAGCACATACTAACACTATTCAGCACATACTAACACTATTCAGCACATACTAACACTATTCAGCACATACTAACACTATTCAGCACATACTAACACTATTCAGCACATACTAACACTATTCAGCACATAATTACACTATTCAGCACATACTAACACTATTCAGCACATAATTACACTATTCAGCACATACTAACACTATTCAGCACATAATTACACTATTCAGCACATACTAACACTATTCAGCACATACTAACACTATTCAGCACATACTAACACTATTCAGCACAGACTGACACTATTCAGCACAGACTGACACTGTTCAGCACAGACCGACACTGTTCAGCACAGACCGACATTATTCAGCACAGACCGACATTATTCAGCACAGACCGACATTATTCAGCACAGACCGACATTAATCAGCACAGACCGACATTATTCAGCACAGACTGACATTATTCAGCACAGACTGACATTATTCAGCACAGACCGACATTATTCAGCACAGACCGACATTATTCAGCACAGACTGACATCATTCAGCACAGACCGGCATTATTCAGCACAGACCGACATTATTCAGCACAGACTGACATTATTCAGCACAGACTGACATTATTCAGCACAGACTGACATCATTCAGCACAGACTGGCATTATTCAGCACAGACCGACATTATTCAGCACAGACCGACATTATTCAGCACAGACCGACATTATTCAGCACAGAACTGACATCATTCAGCACAGACTGACATCATTCAGCACAGACCGACATATTCAGCACAGACTGACATTATCAGCACAGACTGACATTATTCAGCACAGACCCGGGCATTATTCAGCACGGGACCGACATTATTCAGACAGTTGACATTATTCGCCGGGACTGACATTTTTAGAAAAACCCAAATTTATTCAGCACCAGCGGGCCATTATTAGCACAGAAATTTTACCCAAACCGAAATTTTTCACAATAAATTAAAAGCTACACCGGACAATAAAATTTTGAAAAGCAACCCTAGAAATTACAAGAAGAAAACCCCCTGGAAATTTTTCCCCAAAACCAATTTTAAAATTAATTTTCCAAA